GGGGGGGACGATAATTTTATTGAATTACTTGCTTGCATGACGTACTGCTCAGAGTATCGCTGATTTGCTAAACGAAGAAAAAATTGACGTATTTTTGAGCAAAGACATATCCCTGTAATCATACACAGTTTCATTCCCTTTCTTCTTACTGCAGACAGTGAAATTACCAGTAAATCCTTGGAAAGAGGCTGTTTTCTAGTGTTCCAGGTGACGGCTTGGAACCGAAAAGTGAGGCGTGTATTAGGGCGTACCGGTAAAATTTTGGAAGAACAAAATTCTTGCATTCAAAAGCATATGGTGGATGGAAAGATATAGTTGGCCCTTCTTGAGCTAACCCCCCCCCCCCTAATTATAGCCTATAATTAAGGGTGTCACTGTTGACAGTACTGTTGTTTAAATTTGTGTCATGTTTTTCCATTTTGTTAGAAGCTTTCCAACCTCCCAACAACTTTCCTTCATTTATAGAACGCTAAATTCTGGTAAGTCAGAGGTTTAGAAATAAAATATTCTTTCTATGATAAGTGTTTCAGTTATCGTCCAGCTAGATTAATTTTCCTTAAGACAAGGTCAGTTTTTTCAATGATGAAAATAGATATAGCTGACTCAGTCGTCTTCTACACCTGAAAGTGAAAAATAGAAAATGGCATCAAACAGTAAAGTATTTAACCCTAGTCTCATACTCAGACCTTCCACGGCCAAGCTGTTGTACATTTCAGTCACAGTTAAACGGTAAGATCTTGGTACGAGATTAAGTTAACCCTTTAACACCAAAGATCTCATTACTTAGTCCTCCCAATCTACCATACAATCGTTATGATGTTAGTTTGGAAAATTTGGTATTAGATCAACTGATAATCCCTTAATTGATTATTTTCTTTATTCTCATCACGTTTTCCTTGATATTGTATGGATATTGTGAGGAGAAATTACGTCTTTGTCACTCATACGAACTTTGTATTAATGCTACATCAGCATGGCAGAGACTTTGTTCAAAATATATTCTGAAACTGTAGTAGCATCTTCGTACACCGAAATGCGTAATTGGTAAATTCGTTGAAATCATCTTTTTGTTCCTCCAATGTTACCTGGGTAATAGTATAAGTGGTAAATTACACCCCTGTTTAACTTATAATAAGGTACACTCTCACACTAATTTTGTGGGACACTTCTCCAGAACAACGTCTATGGAGTTCTTTCGCCTCTCTCTTATATGCCAATGCGTCAAATCCAAGTTAAATCTAAGCAATACCCAATTTTCCGTTAACAAAAGTCTCAATTGAAGTTGCAATCACGTAAAGGTCTGTGCTTCGTCAAGGTCTTTAAGGAACGGGTAATAAGTCTCCTCGTTTGAAATACGTTTTAACCTATTCATATGGGATTTTAAGAACACAATAGGACTGATTTACAAATATTTCTAACTCCTGTTGTAACAGCTTTCGTTACTGAGGGGATAAGTTGAATTTTTGGTTAGTGACCTCACTTACCCGGACGATCAGACCACAGAATCACATTGATACGCTGCGCGCGCTGCAAGCTCCGCTATTATTATTAACATTATTATTACTAATCCTTACTGAGGGCGCGGTAGAGCAAAACCGATCGTTTATGCCGCACTCACCTTCCTCCTGCATTTCCGAAGTCCATAGTGTCAAATTATCTCTCAGAAGCTGCATAATCAAAGTGCTCTCTTTGTATTGGCTTTCGTTTCCGGACGGGTCCAGATCCTTCACAGCCTCATCAAACGCTGCCTTCGCCAGTTTACAGGCAGCATCTGGGGAATCGAGTATCTCATAGTAGAACACGGAGAAGTTTAGTGCCAAGCCCAGTCGGATGGGGTGCGTGGACTGCAGCCTGGAGGCAGCTTCATCTGCAGCTTTGTAGGCCTCCAACGCTTGGTTTGATGGGGCCTTACGTTCATCGCCTTGTAAAATCTCCGTGAGGTATCGGTAGTAATCGCCCTTCCTGGAAATCAGAGATGAGGGAGGAAAGATAAATCGTGGCCAGGAAACACTCACTCGTTATCTTCAGTGCCAGCCGAAGATCAGAGAGCCACCAGAGATATTGATTAACTAAACTTCCCTCTCCCTATTCCCGAAGAATGAATCAGAACTCCACCTGCAAGCGGACATGCTAGCATTTTTCTCCCTCAAAGACTAAATTTCAGTAAACTGTTCTCCTAAAGTGTATTCAGATGTAGTGCGCTTTTCATTCGAATGTCGTAAATTAAATCAAAATTTAAGTATAATCAAAATAACACATCGAAACAAAGACAAGTATCCAAGGAGGTATAATGAAATTTCGCAGGAAACACATGCAAGGAAAAGTCCCGATTACTTAAGGTTTTGCATCTTATTGTTGATGACTGGTTGGGGTAGACGCTACTGCAAGCTTTCCAGACCAATCACAAAGGGTACTAAAAAAACGAAACAATCGACCCCGCATCAATTTAGGCCCTCAAATGGAAATTGTTGTTCTAAAGCTAGTGATAGCGTAGCTCTTTCTTTTTTTTCCTTTTGTTGAAGGAAAGATTACCTCATAGTCCAAAGTTTACATAGTACTCCACATTTTTGGACATGTTGCATGTCCTGCTACTGTTTCCAAGGGTGATCTTTTACACTTTACTTATAATATTCCTCACTGCGTTTTAGTGCTATCAATCTTATGTAAGCGCAAGAACGCTCTTATTATCCGTTTCTAAGCGTAATTTTTATATTTGGGAGCTTGGGAGAACTTCAAGATTTGTTTTCCAACAATCACAGTGCTTTAACACGTGCTACCCTTAAAATTGTACCTCAGCT